TAATCCCAGCATTTGGGAGGCAGAGGCAGGTGGATCTCTGTAAGTTCAAGACCAGCCTGGTCTACAAGAACTAGTTCCAGGACTGGCTACACAGGAAGACCCTATCTCGAAAAAGCCAAAAATAAATAAACAAATAAATTAAATAAAATTGGCAATTGAGAAGCATAAGTTCTCCAGTTTTGTTTTGTTTTCAAGATAGTTTTGGCTCTTGAGTCCTTTGTATTATTATTATTATTATTATTATTATTATTATTATTATTATTATTTATTTTGGCTACCAGGCTGGCCTTGAACTTACAGAGATCTGCCTGCCTCTGCCTCCCGAGTGCTAGGACTAAAGGTATGCGCCACCAATGCCCGGCTGAGTCCTTTGTATTATATATAACCTTAATGATTAGCTTTTCAAGTGATTTTTTAAAAGACAGTAGGAATTTTAATAAGGATACATTGAATCTATAGATTATTTTTCTACCTGTGAACTTGGAATATCTTTGCACTCACTTAGATCCTCTTCAGTTTCTTCCCACAGAGTGGTATGGTTTTCTGGGTACAGGCTTTTGCACCTGCTTGGTTAAATTTATTCTTAACAATTTTATTCTTTTTTGGTGCTCTTGTTTATAGAGTTGTTTTCTTAATCTCCTTTTTGAATCATTTGTTGCTGGTACGTAGAAATGTAATGAGTTTTACATGTTGGATTTACAGCTTGCAGCTTTGTTAGCTAGTGTATTCTGTCCCAGGACTTCCTCAGCTCCTCCTGGATTTTCTGTCCTCAAGGCCCTTTCATCTGCAAATGAGATTGGGTCTGTCTTAGAGTCTTAGTGTGCTACCTTGCTTAATTCTCTGGCTAGAGTTTCCAGGACATTGTTGATCAGCTGTGAGCAAAGAAGACATACCCACCTGATTCTTTTCTGAACATTGGCTAGACCGGCTGTCTAGTGAGTCTCCAGAGAGCCTTCCATCTCTGAGTCTCAGTGCTGGGATTGCAGATGTGTGTCACCATGCTAGTTTTTACATGGGTGCTGGGTGTATGAACTCAAACCCCCATGCTTGTTACCTGAGTCATCTACCCAGAAGCCCCTGCTTTTTGAAGCAGGGTGTCACTATAGAGCCCCAGCTAGCCTAGAACTTACTATTTAGCCCAGGCAGGCATATGGAATATTTGGGATTATATAGGTGTGTGTGTGTGTGTGTGTGTGTGTGTGTGTGTGTGTGTGTACCATGCCCCAAATTCTTAGCTATTCTTTATCTCTTTTTAATATACATTTATCTACCAGTTTCTCATTTGCTGTCTATGTGTATGAGAGGAAAAGAGAGAATTCTAAAAGACCATTCTCCTTACCCAGAATATGTTGATTTTTTTTAGTAAATTTTCTGAAATAATTTTATAAAATCTGTATGTTTTGTTGTGTATAGCTAATGATATCTTTGTGCTGTTATCTTAGTGGTCATTTTTGTGATTCAACAGAGATTTTCTTAAAGGCAAAGAAACACTCCAACTCCCAGGGTTTTCAGAGTGCTCTCTGTGGATTTGGGGGTATTCTCTGGCTTTCTGCCAGTTTGCAACTGTGAAGAGCTTATATTAGCCTTCACTTTCCGCTTGTGCAGAGTCTGAAGGTTAACCAGAAGCAAGAGAACGAGGTGACACCATGATGCTTAGGCATTAGACCTTGTCCATTGTGGTGGATACTGTATGGATAATGGAGACATTACGGCTATGGGAATAGCATATTTCAACAAACAGTATGAAGACACTTGTTATGAGCTGCAATGTTGTTCACAGCCATTCACCCCATTATGTAGGGTTGAGCCAAGAGAACAGGTCACATTCTTTACTCAGAGCCAGGGTAGGAATGGTGTTATTAATATCTGTACTTTCTGAGTCACAGCTGTTAGATTAGCTTGTGCTTGGCCAGAATTATTTATACCCGTAGAATGTTGTTCTTCGATGGCATGGACCCCTTCCCTATAATCTAGGTGCCCAACATAGAGACATAGGTACGCAGACACAAGAACACACAGCACAAGTCAACCATCTGACACCAACCATCTGGACCAGAAGTTCATGCAAATGTCTCATCAATACAAGGCTACACTACAATAGATTTGTGTCTTTGTTAAGTTTGCATCATCCTGATAACTTGAATGGATAGCGCTGTAATGCTCATTTCACCACCTGCAAGTAAAAGCAGCCTGCTTATGGGAATAAAAACAGCTTACCTTTGTTGGGATGGGCATGTCTTAATGAGGGACTGAGGTAAGGGGGGCTTGACTAGCTGACTATAAAGAGACGTCAAAAGACACTGGGTTCATGCTGTGCTTTCTGTGCACTGTGCTGTGATTCTTTTTAACTCTTGGAAAAGACAGATATAGATAAAGCACTATGAAAGCCACTGTACACAGGGATTTCAGTGGGTAGATGGATATAATTGCGCAGCAAAATTATAGGGTTGCTTTCAGGAAAGGGTTCCTATCTGTCTCCAGTTTGGTGATCAATGGTTAGCATAAAGCAAAACAACTGATACTTTAAATTCATAGGGGGAGTTTTGGAGAATATAAAGATAATACTAATTATCCCTGAATTACCAATATGGGCTATGTGACTGTATGTACCCAATTACAGTGAAAAGAATGGTGACAATATGGCCTGGAGTTTGGTATAGTTAATGTCTTAGAGTTAAAGGGCATTTATTAAACAAGGATTTTAGCAGTCTCGGAGGCAGAAGCCTATGGGCAGAGGGAATTGTCCACCTGTATAAAGAAGCACTTGTCTCCTGGAGTATCATAAAGGCTATAAGCCTTGGCTCGCACTAACATTGCCACTCTGAAGACAAACGTTTACCTGCAAGGCTGACTCTCCAGGGATATCCATTGCACTATGCTCTGGTCCACCCACGTCTGCGGCACTTTCCAGCTCCCAGTTGCGACCATGTAACTTTTCTTCACTCCATCTAGTCATTATGATTGGCCATTTGGCCACCTCTTTTCAGATGGAGGCATCCCACAAAGATGGGCCTGGGTAAGGATTTCTCTCTCTCCATGCTACTGGGTTGATCAAACACATAATTCGTTTGTGACTCTCCAAGAGTCAGTAAAAGCATGGATGGAGGACCTTCTGTAAGCCATAATGTTCTGCGTGGCCCAAAGGACTGCATCTACAGCCACAAGGCGGTCATCGTCGTGGCAGGGGAATTTGTTCTGAGTTTCAGTGGAAAGGTGGGACCACGGCCTGGCAGCAGAAGTTTGCACAAAGTGATGCTACAGACTGCCAGCAAAGATGCCTTCCCAAAGGGGAGGGGATTTAGAAGATGCAGCTAATAAACACTGTGGAGATCTTTGTCATTGATTGACTTGGAGCACCAGGGCAGCCAGCACTCTGCCCTAAGGGCAAGGAAAAAGATCTACGTTCAGTTGCTTATAGTGTGCCTTTCACAGACACTGCACTTGCCTGGCAGCCAGGCCTATCACCTGGTTGTTGGACAATGACTGGGAGTCCTTCACACTGAGCTGTTTGGACTGGCAGATAGATGCCTTTGTAGCTCTTGTCTGATAGATGTCCTGTGTCTGTCCTCATCAGCCATCAATCTGGTGCTGGAAGCCTGCTCTTGTCTCCTGGAGGACTGGTGAAGATCTGGCCTGGGGTAGCTGTTGGTTCTTCAGGTGGAAGGCATAGATTAGACACATATCACCACATAGGCTAGTTAAAAAGCTTGTTACTTATAGACCCTGGTCAGGGAGGGATCAGGGAGTTGGGAAAAGAGTCTATTCTAGGTCACTAAATAAATAGTCAAAAGCTTGTGGGTAGGTGGGTGAAGGGGGAGGGGGAGAGGGGGAGAGGGGGAAGTGAACACACAAACTATGGAATAGGATATGGATCATTTTAAGTTCAATGCTTGAATGGCCATTCAAATGGCCCACATAATAGAAAGACAGGATGCAGTGAGCCCAGTTTGCTAGGCCAAAAAACTGCCTTACAGTATATCATGCCTGGAAAACAGTATTCCACATCATTGAACCCCTTCCTCTGCCTCCTGCATTCTGCCTGCCCCTTATACCATGATGTCCCCTGTGCCTTAGAGAGGTCGGTGTAGCTGTCTCACTTTGGGCTGTGAATTCAGCAGCCTCTTTGTCTCAGCACTATGACTGATTACCAGCCTTGAGTCGTGGGGGCCCACTAAAAAAACAAAGCCTGCAGCAGCCCTGATCTAAGGGCATAAACTTAACCTAATTTGCAGACCATCATGTCCATTTAACAAAACAACAGTAATAGCTTTCCCTCCTAGGACCTAGGATCTAGGACCTCCCAGGCATAGGCCGTGCCCATAGCACCAGGTCAACAGCACCAGATGCAAACCCCGTTCCATGAAGCACGCCTCAAACCCAAGCAGAAAGTGGTTGGTTAACCACCTAACAGTCAGGCCACTGTGTGCTCTTGAGCACATTTGCCTGGCAGGTCAGTAGTTTGGCATGCAGGGTTCACAGCTGGATAAAACTGATGATGACAGGAATATTAGCCAGCAGGGGGAAGTTTCCAGCTCAGTTCCCGCTTAATTTCATTGTGTTCTGCAATCAAAGCATGCAGTGCCTTCAACAATCCTGTCTTACCATCTTGTTCTGGAGAACGAGAGTAACAGTATCAATAGCTGATGCTGTTTGGAGGGCCTCAGTGTACTCTCTGGCCAGCAGCTCACAGAAAGGTAGCCTGCCCCGGCACTGAGATCTTCCTTTATACTCTTATGGATTCTGGGCATGTGTTCTAATCCCCATCAGCAATCTCTGTTACGTCGTTCCCACTGTAAGGATCCTCGTATCTCCTCTGCATGTATCTTCTAGAATGACAGGAATGTTCAGAGCCTGTTCCATTCCCTGGGCTCTTCCACCCAGTGGTTTCAGTTTGTTTTGTTTGTTCTACTGTTACCGCTTGCGCCATGGGGTAGTGGCTAATGGATTTGCTTTCAGTGTTATCCACAAACACCCCTGGGCAGCTGCTCAGTGGAATCTGGCTAAATAAAGGCAAGCCTTTTAGTTCAGTACTGCAGGGAGACAACAGACAGGATAAACTAAGTGACCACAATTCCCAGAGTAAGGTCCATGCTGGTGTTGCTGAAGCTCTGCTCTGCTGCCACTGAGACTGGTAAGTTAAATCGACACCAAGCTGTGTGGTGGAGATCCAGTGTTTGCCTTGCTTGGTTTTTCTTCATTAAGCTCTCACCCTGATGTTTTGATCTTTTGACTGGTTTCCAGAATTCAAGAACATTGGGCAGTGTTTACTGCTCTAGTAGAGGGACTTTTTGTTTCAAGTACTAGAGATCAAACCCAGGGCCTCATGAATACTGAAAAAGTGCCCTTCTCTGAGCTGTATCCCCAGTGTTATGTTTTTAACATGGTTTTTAACCATGGAATTGCTTTTTTATTTTTGTCTTTCCAAGTATGTCAGGACAGAAATGACTTTTTAAAAACTGTGTGTGTGTGTGTGTGTGTGTGTGTGTGTGTGTGTGTGTACTAACAACTGCTACCTAACAGTTTCCATGAGTCGGGAATGCAGGAGTGTTTTTAACCTTGAGGCTGCCATCTACACGATGGCTGGATTGTTGTCATCTGAAGTCTGCACTGGAACTGGAGAACCCCATCCAAGCTCATGCACATGCCTGAAGCTCGTGCACATGCCTGAAGTTCCTGCACATGCCTGAAGCTCATGCACATGCCTGAAGCTCATGCACATGCCTGAAGCTCATGCACATGTCTGGTGGCAGAAGGCTTTAGCGAACATTGGTGTTCTTGTTTTTTGGGCTTGATTTTCACTAGACTTCTTGACTCTGTGAATTAAAATTTTTAATCAAGCCCTCATCAAAAAAACCTTCTTTTGTAGCAGAAGGAGACCACCACAGAAAGCCCTGGCTAGTCAAAATGCAGAGAACAACTGACCATGCAGTTCCCAGCCCCAAAGGATGCATCTGCAATACAACGTCTACGCTTAAGACTCAGGGACCATCTGGGAAGAGGGGGCAGAGAGATTGTAAGGGCCAGAGGACTTGCAAGTCTTCTAGGAGAATGTGCCTTCTAGCTATGACAGGGAAGCTACATTCATGAATCTCAACATCATGGCTGCCTAAACAAGACTTGAACAATTCTAACAACAGTTGACAGCCCAAGGCAGATGGGGGAAGTCTCATAGGGTCCCATCCCTAGAGGAAGAGCTCCAAGCAATTAACAACTGCCGAGAAAGGGGGATTAGTTTTTTCCAGCAGGGTGAGACCCTTAAGTGGTTTTCCAATACCAAGTGGTCAGCCCTAGGAACATACATGCAGGCCACACTGAATATATTCAGCAGTTTGTATTTTTATGTTATTTATTATATGCTTACGTTGCCTTGGATTTGGGAGGGGGCAGACATTGAAGGGGTAAGAAAGAGGAGATGGAGTTGAGAATGATATAATTATATTTTAATTAAATGAAAAATTTAAATAGCAAAAAAAAATCAATTGAAAATGTTTCAGACATAGTTTTCAGCCAATGGTTTTTCTGATTCCTTTTGGTATGGCATGGCTAAATGCCCCCCAGATGGTGGTCTCTGATCAAGGCTTGGTCCACCACCTTGTGATGGTGGCTTCACAAGGTGAAACCTAGTAAGGGGGTTTAAGTCACTGGGGACATGGCTTCAAGCATGTGAGGCCATGGTCTCCTGACCTTTGTCTTTCATCTCCCATCATAACATGGGTGGTTGTCTTCTCTGCATGCAATCCCAGCATGACTGCCTGTCACAGGCCTGTCAGCAATGGGCCAACAGATCTTAGACTGAAACCTCTGAACGCATGAGCCAAAATAAACTCTTTCTCTGTGTTTGATATCGAATCAGAAAGCTGGATCGACTCTCCCCCTCTTTCCCTCCCTCCTTTCTTTTCTCCTCTCTTTTTCTTTCTCTTTTTGTCCTTTGTAATTTGTTAATCTGCCAGTTATATTTTTCATCTCAGACACTGCCATTTTCATCTCTAGTTCAATATGGATGTTTTAAAATATCTCCCATGTCTCTATATTTAAGCTTTTGACCATATGGAGTGCAGTTACAGTAACTGCTTTAATGTCCTTGCTTTCTAAGTCTGGTATTTGGGTCAGTTTTGATTGACTGCTACCCCACCCCCCAAATATGGGTGGTATTTCCCTGTTTCTTTGCCCAGTAATTTTTTGACTGGATGCCAGTCAATGAGACTTATACTTTGTTGGATGCTAGATATTTTTGTGTCCCTATAAATACTCTTGGATTTTCTTCCCCTGAGATACAATTAAGATACTTGGAAACAGTTTTCTCCTCTTAGATTTGGCTTCTAAACTTCTTTAGGAAACAAGAGAGTCATGTTTAGTCTTCCTTATTCCTCACAGCTTTGAGAGGCCATTCTGAGCACTGTATGGGGCTTCCTAAACTGTAGGTCATGACCTCGTGGAATTGAATGTGGGGATTGTGAAACTTTTAGCAAGAGAGAAAGGAGCAATGACCAAAACCTAGTTCAAATTCCAAGGTATTTTGCCAGAGCTTACCCATGGTGCATTGCACAACTTCACTATATCTTTGGTTCTGAACATGCAACATTGTGTGCTTTTCACTGCATTTACCGTACCTTTGTGGCAGGCGAGCATAGGAAATAGTTAGTACCATGGGATCCCCTACTTAGTGTGGGCTTGTGTTTACACCCCTCTCTTGTAGTAATGCACTTGACAGCCCAGTTCCTTCACCTGTATAAATTATGTATGCATACCCATCTCCAAACAATGCACCTAGTGATCTCAGAATCCCCACCTGTATTAGACTATATATACACTCCCATCTTTGCTCAATGTTATACGTTAAATACATTCCCAAAGTGTCTAGGTATAAAGAATAGCAGCACCAGTCTGGCCTGAACTGCCTTACCATCTTATGCCTATGTACAATTGGGCATGTATGTAATTAAAGTCAGATGTATTAAGGGAAGGGACATGTTCAGTAGAGAAACCATTGTGATTTATCAAACCAGCCCCTCCTCTTGAACCCCATGAAAGGAAGCCCCGAATAATAACCAAGGCCCTTGAGTGTCCTCACTCACATGCCCACTGTCAATCTTGACAGCATTTCTCTCCATAACCTGCACTGCTATTTTGCTCCAAGTGAAATTATCTTGCTTCTTTCACAATTCTGTGATTTTCAATTCTTTGGATCAGTCACCAAGAACCTGGAAATATGTGTTCCCAAATCCAGTCACCAGCAGCATCACCAGAAAACAGCCACAAACACAGCCCAAGACACCTAGGCTCAGGAGTGCAGACTGGTGTGCTCTGAGCTGCAGCGGCTTTACTGTACACGCGGAGTTTTAAAGCCAAATACTGAATACTATCCTACAGTCTTTCTTCAGCGTGTATCAATTTAATATATCTTTGAACTATATTATGTTAGAATGTTTAATTTGGGGAGTTGCCATTTCAGGGGCTGACTTGATTTTCATTTTTTTTTTTAAATCATCAGATGAATTTTGGCTTGAGATGAAGGCAGAATTTCCAATAATTTCTGAAAGATCCCTAAACATGCTTTTGCTGGTTTGTGCTATGCATTTATGCAATGCTATTCACTTAAAATGATGATTATAAGATCAAAATATTGACCAACTCTGGGGAGCATTGATAATGCTCTTCATTCCACAGTATCAAATATTCTGCCAAGATTTAATTCTTTACGCAAAACTAAATAAGAACACCCATCTTGCTAGCATACAAATCTGATTCATCTTTAATACATGATAAAATATGTATATGCATCTACATTTACTTAAATTCCTTTATGATTTACTATTGATAAATAATTGCTTCATATATCTATTTTTAAATACCTAATATCCAGGATCACCTAAAAGTTTCTGGGGTGAAAAGGGTTATGATCAGAAGAGTTTAAGAAATCCTGCTTTGGAAAGGATATGTGATAGGTAGGGTTTTAGTTGGGGGGGGTAGGGGAGGATGGGAGGGAGAAGGAAACTGGGATTGTCATGTAAAACAATCTTGTTTCTAATTCAAAATTTAAAAATCTGTAAAGAAAGAAAGAAAGAAGAAAGAAACCCTGCTTTGTCCAGCGTCCCATACATCTGTTCTGGATGCTGTACTTGACTGTGTGGGCATAAGACACTGTCTCAGTAACTGTTCTTTTCACCTGGCCTCAGGTTTCAGACAGGTCCGGATGGCGTTCTGTCGAATACTCAAGGAGAGATCATCTAGAGACCTACAAACCTCTCTCTCTGCGGCTTTCTTCTTCCCCATGGTCTGCACTGAGAATTCCAGACTCCTAGGCTTCCCTTGGCTCCCAGTCTTATTAAACTTCATTAGACGATGCCAGATTATTAGTTTGTTTTCTAGACTATGTAGCCCAAGCTGGCTTCAAACTTTCTATCCTTCTGCCTCAGCCTCCCAAATGATGGGATTACAGACGTGCACTACAACACCGGGCTCAAATTGCTCTTTTTAAAGCTGTGCTAACTCCCATTCCTCTGCCATCCATGTCTGAGAACACACATCTCTGCCAACAGTACTTATTATCACACTTCTGCAAGATTCCTCTCTATCCAAAGGGTGGAAAGGATTCCCTACAGTCACACCACTTTGCATTCTCAGAACAGATTGAGCACATTTTCCTAGGTTGATTGATAAAATATTTACTCCTCTATTCAAATCTTTTTGGCTGATCTCCTATTTGGTTATGGTTTTAGTCTGTGACAGCTCTCTAGCTCTAGACATGAAAGCTTTTCATCTATCAACTCCTTTTAATTCACTCCATCTGGATTTTTTCCCCTTTGATATATCTGTTTCAATGAAGCCTTTAAATTTTGATGAAGTCAAAATTTTTATCTTTTCTTTTGTATTGTTTTTATTTGGTGGGGGGGGGACAAGGTTTTGCTATGTAGCTCAGGTTGACCTTGAACTCCTGTATCTACACTCCAAAAATTGAGATTTTTACTATCATGAACCACCATGCATGGCTATAGCTATATTTTTCTTAGTTTCTAGGTTTCTACCTGGACTAGAAAGTTTTTCCAAACTTAAAAACTAAAAGGTTCTGGGCCTGGTGCCATGGCCCTGTAATTCCTTGTATTTAGAAAACTAAGTCAGGTTTACAAGATCAAGGTCAACCTGAGAGACTCAGAGTCTCCCTCAGCGGGAATGGCAACTAGGATGTCACTCAGTGATAGATGCTTGCCTAGCATCCATGAGATCCCCAGGTTCGATCTCCTCTAGTAGATCACTGGGAGAGGGGACCTGCTGTGGGCAGGCAGTGTCTAAGAAACTTCGTCTTTCACAATCACAATACTAAGGTAGTCAAGGTCCCAATAAAGGCTACAGCTGAAGCTGTCCTGTTGCAAGCTCCTCTCCGGCACCAGCTCTCTAGCCCCCCTGATCATAGAATGGCAATGAGAACACGGGGATACCATTAGCAAGAAGGGCTATCAGGTGAACCCTGGCTGGGTACATGTGGGAAGATGTCAGATAGACTGTACTTCCTGAGTGTGAAGGAACATGCTAGAGCCTTGCTGGTGGCTCCTGGCTGCCCCTGGCTGGAGCCTAATGCTGCTCTTTATCCAAGTCAGAAACCCCAGGAACTGGAAGAATCTCTCAGCACCCTCAAGAAGGGTCTAGACTGTCCTTGAGCAGATGAGAGGGTGGGGTAGGAATGGAGTAGCCATGTGGAAAGCTGCGGTTCTATAACCCCCCCCCAAAAAAAAAAAAACATATATGAGGAGTGGGAGGGAGTTACTCTGCATGGCTGCATGGAAGCAGTTCCTAAAAGCGGTGGTTTGCTGACTACAGTCCCCAGTGTCAGGAGTTGAGATGATGCCACAGGAGCTGGTCAGGGGGACTCCAAAGCTCCCCCACACCCTGCCAAAATAGTAGCATCATGTTTGCTCGCCAGAACTAGAGAAGACTATTTCAGAAAATAACACATACCTTAGACCAGTGCTTCTCAAACTGTGGGTCATGAGCCCTTTGGGGGCTTGAACAGCCCTTTCACAGGGGTTGGCTAAGGTCACTGGAAAACACAGATATTTACAATTCATAACAGTAGCAAAATTGCAGTTATCAAATAGCAACAAAAACAATTTTGTGGTTGGGGGTCACCACAACATGAGGAACTGTGTTAAAGGGTCGCAGTTAGGAACCACTGCCTTCGACAGTAGATAGAGAAAGTTAGCCAGAACCAGCAAAGCTCTTCCTCCCTGCTGGCTGGCCTTTAAAGTGCGGAAGGGCACTGTGTGGGCTGCTGGGGAAGCTGTTGTCAGTCTTGCTCTGCTGTGAACCACGGGCCAACCATAAGGCAAGATGTGTCCACCTGTACAGTAGTGGCTTAACTGTTTGGGGGATAACCAATTGGCCTGTTTGAATTTGAGGCTTATTCCGTGGTGGGATGAGGGGACAATGGCTGGTACTGTAAGCCTGACCAACAACTCGGGCTTTGAGAGGTCATAGTTGGGGAATTATTACTGTTGTTTAACTAAATCAACATAGCGTCAAACTGCCTTCTAAACAGCTATGCTTATGCCTATAGTCAAAGCTACTCCTAACTTTAATCAGAAACACTTCTTACAATGAATGGCAGTGAATGCAGAGATTTCTGGAAGCCCAAGAAGCTGAGAATAACAGCCCTAAACAAGACATTTACACTCCCTCCTGTGATGTTCATGGAGCTTTAAGGGTGTAGAGAGAGGCAGGAAGTATGTGTAAGAGCTGGGAAACTGCAAGCTGCCTTTCTCGGGACTTGGTAGAACCATTGCACTTAACTCACACATGTGGCTACCTGCTCTGGACCCACACAAGACTGGCCCTGTCAACCGTCTTGGAAGGGGGTGCTCATAGGGTCATACCTTTTGCTGCTGAAGTGTTAGCTGGTGAGTGGTTCCATTTCTAGTTGTGTACACACCGCTGAGCCCACCAGGCTCCTACAGATAGCTCCAAACTCATGGTCACACAGAGGGCTCTGATTAAGCCCAGTGAACCACATAACAAAAGGAATAGACATGAACATGAGAGATTTTTAGGCCAAAGTGGAATGGCGAGGATGGTCGGGGTGGCGGTGAGATACAAGGAGGTGAGGGTAAGAGTGACCAGTGTGCATTGTGCATGTGTGTGAAATTACCCAAGAACAAATACAATACCGAAGGCAAATAAATGGTGAGCCAAGGTTGAAAATAGTGAGGAAGTGGGTGGCCTCCTAGCAAAAAGCACAGCACCAAAATCAACTAGGAAAAAGATGAAAACTTGGACAGAACAACCAGTAGAGGTGATGATGTTGTCCTGTGTTAAATGCTGAGCCATTCTTGGAACAAAACTTACCTGTTATTATTATTTATTTTGGAGGGTTTTGAGACCGTCTCTGGTAGCCCAGGCTGGCCAGGAACTCACTGGGCAGCCTAGTCTGGCCTTGAATTAATAGCAATCCCCCAGCTTAGTTTCTCAAGTGCAGGGATGTTACTGCTACACTCCGCTCTCTATTTTCATTCTGGATGTCTGGTTCTTTGGACACATTGCTGGATTCTACTTTGCAATGTATTGTTTCAGATTTTTGGTTCTATAATCAATAATAAGGTTGTCCTATTGCCAAGGTCACCAAAAATACCACCCATGGGTCAAGTCTAGCCTACTGCTCATGTGACCTTTTTTTTTTTACAGTGCCCATTCCTTGCTGGGCCATCACAGTAGAAGGAAGGAGGAATATATGGTAAAGAGATGGGAGAGAAAGAGGAACTGAGAATTCTGTGAGCTATGAAGAAAGGCAGAACTCAAGGAGCAATGGCAGTGAGGAACACTCTGACATGAGAGCCCTGCACAGCCACCTGAGACCGTGTGATGTCTGGGCCCCTGCTGCAACCAAGGGCCATGTCTGGGTCCATGGTCCTTATGCAGCTGGGGTCTGTGTTGATGTCAGTGACCTGTACTAACACCAAAGGCTGAGGATGCCCGGGGTATGCAATGCAGCCAGAAGCCAGGAGGGCGGGACCAGTGGTGACATGAGCTTGGGAGAGTTGGCACCAATAGTGTGGGAGAGCCCTCACTGGGGTGGCACAGGAGACCTGGCCCTGGTGCCCTGAGTATGGGAGAGCCAGCCTTGCACTGCACGGGGGAAGTGCAGGAGAACTGGCATTGATGGTGTGGGCATGGGTGAGCTGGTCCTACTCCTCACCTGGGCTGTGTGGGAGAGCAGGCCCTGATGTGGAAGCAGGAGAGCTGACCCTGATGTGAGCCCAGGAGCGCTCATGATGCTGCTTGTGGGAGAGCTGGCACTACCAGAGCAGCATGGGAGAACTGGCCCTGGTGGCAAGGTACGGGCAAGCCGGCCTGAAGCCTTGGGTATGGCAGAGCTGTCCCCACCCCTCTCTGGCTGCTTCAGGAGAGCTGGCCCCGCCCCTCACCTGGACAGAGGGCAAGCCATCTCTGGTGGTGTGGATGAGGGAAAGCTGGCAAGCTGACCAACTCAACTACCACCCAGGCCCAGATCCAGGGCTTTGGGTTGGCCCACTCCAACATCTTCCCGATTTCGGGAAGGCATGAAGGGGCCACGCATGTGGCTCCATAGCTGCCAAGATCCCTCACGGATCAGGGCAACGGCAGGATATTTGAGAGTCTCTATGACGGTCCAGTATTGACTTTGCAGCAGAAGCCAGAGGTCTTGAACTAGCTTAATGACTCATTGCAATGAATATTCTCAAGTAAAGTTGCTTGGGCAGAAGGGTACACCATGTGACACTCTGCAACTTCCAGTGCCACTATGGCGAATGAGTGTGTGATGGAGATGCAGGAAAGACAGGATGCAAACACAGAAGACTGCAGCTGATAAAAGAGCAGGCTGTTGCCCAGAGGGGTTGGTAAGATGTTTTATTATTTTTCATTAACTTTTGTTGGGGGACAGTTACCAGGGTGGAGGGGCAGATACGGAAGAACTGGAAGAAGAATGAGATGTAAGATACCCATAGATTCAATTAAAAATATAAAATGAATGGTTTTACTTAATTATTTTTTAATAATAATTCCCAGCTGTTCTTATACTTCAGCAGACATGAGACCAGGTTTGACCAATCACATGTACCTGTGAGGGGTTTCTGGTCTGAGCTTGAGATCCAGAACACCAGGATCACATGCTCTGGGCTGGTGGTGGCATCCTCAACAGTTGCTGCAGTGACAATGTTATCTGTCCTCATGGATATACGACTTTTGTTGATTTGCCTATTTTCTGGGCCTGATCACCAGGCTTCCTAAAAATTGGTGGGAGACTGAATATTGCTTCAGTATGTGTATGTTCCCGCTTAAATGAATATGAACCAGGATGTTATGATTACAAACAATGGCCAATCTACATGCATTGTGAGATAAGCCATATTCACTCATTTATCATTTGAAACCACCATGGATTCAGGTACCATGTGTATAAAGTCATTCTGATAGTTTCCTATGTTTGAAGCTCCTAATCTGATTTTAGTGCCAAATATGTGCTTTTCATCTTATTGAACTTAAGATCCACCTCTTCAACCTCCCCAAGAGCTGGCATGTGTCACCATGCCCTGCCAAGAATATTTCTGTAGGAAAACCCAGTGGTAAGATCTGCAGCAAAGGGTCTGTACATCTTCACTCTTGGTAGTGTCAAATTGTTATCCAAAGACTTTTTGCTGATTTACATTCTGAGCAACAAAATATATAATGCTGCCTATTTCTCTCTACCCCTGCCAACGCAGAGGACCTGTCACCAATATGTTCCTTTAATTTTTTTATAGATGAATTAAGCGTCTTCACATATGTTTGGGATATTTTTCTCCAGCCCTTTCTTTTTCTGTGGAACTGTCTGTTCATGTTTTGGACTAGGTGGTTGGTTTCTCTTCTTTTAATTTGGCATATCTTGGTTTAACCTCTGACCTACCGGGATCTGATGGACTGGAGTTTAGACTCAGCTGCCTTCTATATTAATTGTAATGGCTGCTGGATCTAGAGTAGCCCTTCATTCAGACCTCAGGGGGAGGAAGTGTTTTTTTAACTTTGGCACAGTGGCTGTGCCTTAATCTAACGCAATTTCAGCCAGTAATTGCAACTCCAAAGTTACTGGCTTGCTTGTTCAGGCTGCAGCCTGGCTGGGATTCTGTTCCCGTAGGCACCAGCCCTGTTGCTGCTGCTAAAGGTAGCTTTAGCTAAATTTCTATCTTTGTATTTATAATTAAAACTCAAGACTCAAAGACTGGGGTGAAAACCTGCTAGCTCAGAGAGGCGGAGTAGCAAATAGCTAATCCCTCCTTGCTGGCATCTCCCCCACTCGCCCCCCAAAAAGTCCTTGTGCTCCACCAAATAAAAAGACCTGCAACATTCCAAATCCCTCTCTACCACTTCCTGTGCCTCTCTCTTCCAATGCCCTCTGACACTCTCTGATTACTTTCTGTCAAGTAGCTGTTAACTCAGCCTCCTGACTCAAGGTTAATTTTATTTAATTAAGGCAAACTCAGGGTTTATCATGTGATCGAATGTCCCCCACCAAGGAAGGGAGCCCAGGATCATGTGGTTCTGCTTCCTAATTCAAGATATTTGCTTTCTAGCTGCATCCACCGATTCCAGAAAGGCTTTCAGTGAAGTCTGCCTAGAAGATTCCATGTTTCCTACTAATCATCGACTGTTCTGAAAACCGGTAAGAACGTGTTGCATAGATGTCTGTTAGTATTTTAATGATTTTCAGTAGATTATGAGTAGGCTAGATTCTCATATCATGTGCAAATAATTAGAAATCTGCTCCCTAAATTTCAATATTTATAATCTCAGTTCCAATTTCTTTTAGAATATTAACTTTAACCATATGTGTGTGTGGCGGGGGGGGGGGGCACGGACAGACAGACAAGCACAGACACAGAGAGACACACAGACAGACACAGAGTCTTAGTATATAGCCCTTGCTAGCTTGGATGCATACCAGGCAGACTTTGAACTCACAGACATCCATCCACCTGCCTCTGTTTCCTGAGTGCTGGGATTAAAGATGTGTACCACCATGCTTGGCCCATT